AGATTCTAATGGCTCAGTCGTGAAGACAAGTCCAAACTTTTGGCATAGCCTCCTCCATTTCTTCAACAAAATCAGAAAATCCTCTACAGTTTCATTTCTCACCTAAAAAGTGTACAAAAGTTATGATTAGATGTATGGATATTTAAATAAAATGATTCCAAGAAAATATAAAAAAATCACAACTAAGACTTACCTCGGTTTCAGGGTGATTGAGTTTCAAACTGCTACAAGCAAATTTATTGATATCTACTGCCCATTTCCGCAGAAAAGGGAAAGTGAAGTAAACAAAAGTATCATGATAAACACTAGCACAAGTTTTCATGGCAAGAGAAACTTACAGTTTTCAAATTTACACCTGAATATGAGGCGCCAATGGTCAGTCCTGTAGACATGGCTCCGCAACCGGAGTATAAATCCAACAGATATAATTCTTTGTTGTAGGAAGCACCACATTTTGAATCATTTTCGCTTGAGACCGTTGATTCATCGCTCTCCACATTGTGAATATCTGGAAAAACAGAAACCATCAAGTTCTAATAGGATATCGCAAAAATAGTTAAACCATGTATGGAAACAATAAACTTTAACCGTGAGCTCAGAATGTAGATTAATGAGCTAATTTAAGAACCAAAAATGAGAAGCACATGTGAAAGTACCATTGTCTGCATTTGAGAAGGTAAAGTGATCCAATTCGTATGTCATGTCATAAAAGAAATCACATGACGGTGATATAACTCTCTCCTCGTTTTCTGACATCATCTGTTAATAGAATGGATACAAAATCTATATGAGTAATAGTACAAACAAGCCAATTCACGAAAAAACTTTCAAGAATTCAAAGATATACGTTTACCTTTAACGGAAACTTGGCAATGTTTACTTTAGAGTCAATGCAGTTAAGCGAGTTATCATCTTCCACATTAGAAAGAAACACTCTTTTATCTTGCACAAGTTTTTCGTTTTCGTAATTTGCGACAGCCTGAATAACCTGGAAGAGTCGTCAAGAGCATGAAAATCAGAAATAAGAAATACTTGTAGTAATCAAGGACATAGAAAATCTAGTAAAACTCACCGTATTCTCTGGTCTATAAAACCATTGCGCTCTAAAGTAGGGCTCGCCATCTAATCCCACGAAAAGCTCAATGATTTTGGCAATGTGGTTAGGTTTGTTCTCGCCGGCCTGGACCCAAAATGCAAACAAATTAGCCACATTAGCATTAACCACATTATATTATACTCACACAATTGAAAATTTTGGGCAATGTGCCAAAAATCTCAAGCACATTACATCAGAATCAAACCAAGACCGATCAATATCCAAATCGCACGACTCACTAACAGTAAATGGATTGATTCAAGTGTCAAGAAATTCCAGAACCAAAAAGATCGTACCTGAACGTAAACATCGTCGCCTAATTTCAACACAACGCCATCAACAATGGCTTCATTGTAATGAACTCTAGCCTTTAGCTCCCTTTTCGAGACACTATTAGCAAATACACAAAACAGTACCCCATTTTAGCAACGACACAAACTAAAACCAACCAGAGTGTTACTAATACTATAAGGGATCAAAGAATTTTACCGCATCGGTGGACTCTATTTTAATCGCCGAAGAAGAGTAACGGATTGGCCATTTTTGTCTAGCTTCATCGGCGGAGATTGGTTCACCGGTGAAGCACAAATCGGGATCTGGCTCGTTACGTTTCATCGATTTCGTGAGTGGCAGAGAGAAGAATCGATTCGGAGGAGGAAGACGACGACTAGAGGGCTTAGGGTTTTTAGGTGTTGAGAGAAATTTGGGGGATTTTAATAAAAAGATTTTGAAAAAGAATAAAAAAAAGGAAGATTCGTTAGGAGGGAAAGTAAATATTTTTTCGAAAGTAAATACCAGCCGGGTATCACTAAATATAAAATTATTAAAAACACAATTTTTCTTCCTTTTACTTAATTTTATACTTTTTTCATCTTTTTATTCAATTTTTATTAATTTTATACTCTCTTTAAATATAAAATTATTAAAAACACACTCTTTCTCTCTTCAAAAGTATCAACTATTTGATACTTTGATACACTCTCTCTCAAAAAATATCCACTATTTCTTCTCTTTACTCAAATTTTATTAATTTTATATTTCAATATACCTCATTATTTCAACAAAAAACATTCTCTTTCTTCCTTTTACACAAATTTTAATAATTTTATATTTAATACTTCGATTTCCTTATTCTTTTTCATTTCGGAGTAATTTTTGGATTATCTTCCTAACGTTTTTCGAAAGATTCTGATTATTGAATATATTGGGCCTCATGGGCCTGAAAATAAGTTAGTTTTTGTTTCAAGTTTCTCAAACTTCTAAGATAGGTCACAATTAGAAGTTTAGAACAATGGATAAATTACAAACTTGGAAGCAAACTGAAAGTAGTAATACAAAAGTGGAAGATCTGTTTCGTTGGTTTCATACATTTATTTTAGTTCACATAAGATTATTTTAAAAGCCAATAAGGTTAAAAGTTAAATAGTAGTAGTCATGGAAATGACATCAAACTCAACTCCCACATAAAGCTTATTGTTCACCAAATAAGGTCTATCAAGTTTCTTTAAAGGCATGAAATCCTCAAAGCCATTGTTCTCATCACGTTCTACATCAACCCAACACGAATCTACATAAAACAAACAAAAAAAGTGTTTAAGTAACCATCACAATTTTTTAAAAAATGTTTAGCAAAACTTTTAAAAACCATATATACCTGATTTCTCAAAATGATTGCGGTTAACTTGATCTAATACACGCAGCTTGAATTTCGCGTAAGTTTTCGCCTTTGGCGCATTGTTGATAAACCCTTCTCCTACTAGATACACAGAAAATGATTTGTCTTTTCCCTCCTTAATCCCGCTTGGGTGAATTTTGATTTTCCTGATCAAACACTCAACACAAATATGCAACTTCTTTTATACGTGATGCATTTTATAACCAGGCTTGTAAATAAGTGTTTTTTTTTTAAAGGGAAAATAAGTTAGAATTCAATCACCATTTCCGGGTTCCAACGACAAACTCATTAGAGTAATGATACATTTCAGGCTCGAAAGACGAGAACTTTGTCATCATCCAAGTGGCTTTGTGGTTGATTGGCTTCTCAATTAAGCTAAAACATTCTGCTGATCCTTTTGCACCATTTTCAAACCCATCAAACTTAACACCAAACAGACAACAATCTTCAATAAGATACCCTTTTGACTTAAGATCAACAAGTGATATAAGCCGTGGAGTCCCTCTCATTTGTGGTATTGATGTTGTACCAAAGTTCAATATCACTGCACACATAACACATCAATATTGACGCCATGTATATATA